CTGAATTCAGCTCTGGGGTTCATTGCTGCTTTTAGACTTCAAAGATCTGGCTGAAAATTTGCCTGTGCTTCTACTGGTGTTTTCTTTCCCCTAGAAAGATTGGAGGGGAGTGGTTGGAACTAAAGGTACATGTGAATTTTACTTGCTTCATATGTTACTAGGACTAGTTTCCTGTTTCGTGAGGATGTGAAGAGGCATGAAGTGAGATTAGGAGTCCTTACTGTGTGTGTATAGCATGCTTGCAGAGACTTAAAAAGCAGTGACTAGCCTGTGGGCCCATGAGGAGCAACTGCATGCCAAAAAGAGGGGCAACTTGTTCTTTCCTGGCCTGTGGTGTGATCCAGACTGCTGCCCTCACTAGGCTTGCAGGTATCTGGTAGTTTGAGAAGATCACTTGGCTATAGAGCTGTGCAGGAATGTTGCTTCCTTGCAAAAGCCAGCTCACTTTACAAATGGATAAAGATGAGAAGGAAATCAGGGTTAAAACAATCATTGCTGCAGCTGGTAGCCCTATTGGAAAGACCTGTTCTGTTCTGGTATGGACCCAGTACACGCTAGTCTCATTTTTAATCCAGTTGGATGGGGGTTCTCTCCCATTTTGTGCATCTCTGTGTGCATTAAACTAATTTTTTAATTGGTTAGAGGTGCTAGAAATTAAATATCACATATTTCTTGTTTACTTGGTGTGTGAATAAGCACGTACAACTTTTGTTAAAATAAATCTTAAGGGTGGACTGATCTGTTTGAGTGATGGTGGCAAACCCATGCCTACAGCCAGTGTAAAACTGAGTTGTTCCCGGTCAGTGGAGACATGTTTTGAGAACAACAAAGGAGGCTTCAGCCTTTTTCCAGCCCCAGCCAGCTAAGCTGGTGGCTGTGCATGCCATGGCTTGGCTCTCTGCAGAGGTTGGGAGAGGGACACTTTGCTGTTGCTGCTCAGCCCATTGCTCTAGAGCACTACTGTGTTCCCATAACACAAAAGAAGCAGTGGTGCTTCAAAGAGGACTTCAGCAGCTCCATGAGTTTTCAAAGACCTGGTGCTACTTTTATGTGGATTTAGCATCACCCGTGACCTCTGGGTCACAGCTACCAAACAACTCTGTTGCTTCTTTAAGCTCTGATAATTTTGGCTCAATTTCTGGTTTAATTTGGAGACAGCCTGCTGGAGCTCTGCACAGTAAATGCCCTATTAAGCAGTTAATTATTTCTCTATAATACTAGCTTTTATCTTTAATACAACAGTTTTACTGTCTCTGATAATTACACAGTCTCGGATAACTCTCTTAAATCTAATGAGGCATGACAAGCTGTGTTCAACAAGGCACCACACCATTAACTTCTTACCTCTTACTTGTCATCTTATCACACTGAATTACAGTATTTCTAGCCTGAGTGGCTGTGGATACATAACATGTCACTTTTCATTAAGACAATAATGAAAATCATCCCTGGTGTTCTTGCAGTCAGGCTAGTGGTCAGCTGCCTGGGCTGGTGGCCTGCAGACCCTTCCAACAGCTTCTCTGCAGCATCATGCTCTTTGCCTCATGACCTGAGCGAGCTTATTAGGTTCAGTTTAAATACTTCTGGCCACTCAAAAAGCTCGGTTGGTCCATGGGTCTCTTGCTTGTGAAATGCAAATGACGCTTTGAAGGACATCAGTGATGATAGACCTTTTTTGTGCCAGTGGAAGTCATTGCTGCAGGGTTATCTTGTGGTGGGATTTGGCTGGATATGGGAAAACAGGCATTTTTTTCTGGGCAGGGATAGGACACAAACTACTGCAGCAGTGCCTGGTGTAACTTGACATGACTGCTGCTTCGTTACTCACTAATGGCAATAGTGGATCAGGTCATGGGTATGGTGGTTTTCTGTGGATTTGGGAGTGGCACAGAAAATCCTGTACGTGCCTGACCGAAGCCCTGGGGTTAAGGGGATTGTCTTTTCATACATTGCCCTGTCACCTTGCCAGTAAAAGTAGTACATTTCTGAAATGTCAAGTCTCCTGGCCGGGGAAGTTCCTGCATCCTTCCAGGCTGGACCAGGAGGGCATTTCCCAGGGTGTGAGCCCAGGCTTGGGGCAGATGGTAGGGCTTCAGCTGGCAGGCTGAGTGCTCAGCTACAGCTGGACTGAACAGATCTGCTAATTACTGCCTAGATGCTGAACACCAAAGAGCCCTTTATTTGGTAATCAGCTGTGTCCAGCCAATGTTTTGGTGCTTCTGCCCAGCCCTTACTGAGCCTCTTGCTTTTGGAGGTGCGTTTGCCTTCTGGTGCATGGAGCCTGTATAAGTTATGCTGGTAAAACTGTGTATTTCCCCATCAAGCAGGGGAGGAAAAAGTTTCGTTTCAGGTTATAACCTGAGTCGTTCAGATTCCCTGTGGGTATTTTGTGGAATGCCCATGGGATCAGCTACTGTGGCGTGTCTGGATTAGATCAGTTCCTGGCTCTGAAAGGGCAGTTTTTACTTGGACAGAAGCTGTTAGCTTCTCCGCAGTTTCATTAACTGCAAAACCAACCGGCGGGTGGAGTGTAAATCTGGAAAGAGAGCTGGATACCGCCCTGTGTTTAAAGTTGTGCTGGCTTTGTCAGCAGTGTTAGTGATCTAAAATGGACCAGAGGCATCAATCGTGCCCAGTTCCTTCCCACAGGCAGTAAGTAAACTCATGTCTATAAAAGTGCATTTCCTTACCCCGCTGGAGCAGGCAGAAGCATGCGGCTCTGATGCCCCCGCTGTCATCTGTGGCACTCTGGGTCCCTGTCTTCATGTCCCAAAGTTATCCTGGGAAGTGTCCTCATGGGCCAAGAACTGTCAGCAGTGAAAAAAGTCCCTTTGCTGATTGTAAATTTGAAGGCAGTGGCTGGTTACCTGTAGCTGGGGGCGGGGATGAAGAAAGAATTGCTGTGACAAGTGGGATGGTGTGCGTCTGTTCTGGCTTTTGGTTGCTTTTAGAAGGAGCAGAGTAGGCTAACAGGGCTTCCAAGGGTGAAGACTTAGTGATGCTAAAATAGATTAATTGCTGGTCTGTTTGGGCTTCTGCAGTCTGAGTACTCTTCAGTATTCATGGCAGTGATCTGCCTGGTGTCAGGCACAGCTGGGATGTATAGAAGGATTTGGTGATTAATGCTTACAATATGTTCTCTTGAGGTGGTTTCTCGGGGTTATACGTTGCCTGTTGATTCAGCCTCATCCATCCTGTTGCTTTCAGGCTCGTGGTTTCGCTAGATGGCACCACCAAGCAGCCACTCTGCTCGCATCCCAGGCTGGACTGTCAGGAGTTAGAGAGGATGCACTGAATTTTTTTTTTTTTTTTTTTTTTTTCCATTTCCCTGGGGGGTGGGGGGAAGAGACAAAAAGAGTGGCAGCTCATTATTTTTAACTCTAAATCATGTTCAAGCTGGCAGCATGTTTGGGAACTGATTGTGGCAGATTTAACCTGATGTCCACCTTTAGCTTGTTATGAGGAAAGTGGTTCCAGCAGCTGAGGCAAGGTCAGGGGATCTGCACCCTCTGTGTCTGCTTGAGGTTTGGAGGCAGGGTGCTTGGTGCCACAGCTGCAGTGATGATGTCTCTATCTGTAGCTGTTAGACACTTTACCTCAAAGCAAGACAGTGCCACTGAATGCCCTTTACTTTTGTGTTTGTTTTGTTGGTTTTTTGTTTGTTTGTTTGTTTGTTTAGATTTATTCATTAGGAAAAAAATATAGTGGAAAAACCTCTTCCAAGTCATCTTGTTCCAGAGCATTGTTGCCTGTGGGAATTAAAGGGAGAAGAGTTGGCTTGGGAGCTGGTACTTTCTAAAATGTGCTCCTAGATGGAGGGACAGCAAAACAGTCAAGAATGACTTTTGCATGGGATGTGGTATTTTGTACTTTTCCGTTAGCAGCTTTTATTTGTGCATGTAAAAGCTGGTTGATCCAATGGAGAGCATCACATCTGTGACAAACTAACTGAAACCCTTTGAGATGTTTCTGCAATGCTCAGACCCCACTCTGAGCAAAACTAGATAAAAATTTAACTTGCTGTTTTCTCCAAGTAGTAACTAGAGAAAGCTCAGAGCAGCAACTGAAGTAGATACCACTGGAGGACTCCTCTAAGGAGGACAGGCATGAAGGAGCAAGCTCCTCTGTGGCCAGAGGGACTTCATTTAAAGAATCACAGAATGGTTTGGGTTGGAAGGAACCTTTAAAGGTCATCTAGTTCAACTCCCCAGTGATGAGCAGGGACATCTTCACCTAGATCAGATTGCTTAGAGCCACATCTAACCTGGCCTTGAATGAATGTTTTCAAGGAAGGAAGAGTTGCTTCAAATATCTTTATTTCAGGGCATGTGGTTGGTGGTACTGAAGCCATGTGTCTCAGACTACTGCTCCGCAGTGGTAGCCAGTGGGCATGCAAAATATTGTGTAATGGAATAATGTTTTAATACTAGCTGGTGCAAGCTTGGAGCCATGCCAGCTCACAGGGTTTTGGAGGTTGGCACACACTCAGTATACTAATTGTAGGTACCTTTATGCTGGAAATGTGTGCAAGGTCCTGCTTTCTTGAAGGTCTTCTGGTCCTGGTATCTACAAGGAGATGGTTTTATTGCACTGCAATGACTCAAAAGCTTATGGACTCGTGGGCCATATAATTTCACTGTCACTACCCTAATTTCCATTTGCCTGGAAGAATTATTAGGGCTGGGTAGGTAGCGGTGAATCCTCCCTAGCTTTCCTTAGGTCACTTCCCATGGCATGAAAATGCTGCGGCTGAAGGATGCCAGAAGCACACACCTACCTCAAATACCTCTACTGTTCATCCTTCTGACCTGTGTGTGCAAACATTGTCTCTGGTTAGTTTGGACCCAGGTCCTTCGACTTTGCTCAGTTACAATACTGGCAAAATGCTGAGGGTCCTCCAGATCCTTTTGACTGCTTTTGCATTGAAGATTGGTACAGAGTGCACACGTGTATTGGTTCAGCTCTGCTGGTTTATGTAACCTCTCTAATTTTCTTTGCAGTAAAAAGATTTAAGGAACCAAAGGAAGAGAGGCGTCCCTGGAGGATATGGTGAGATTTTGGAGCTTGAAAAGACCGTGTATATGTAATATTATTTTATCCTATACTAACAGTCTTCTAGGCCGTCTGAATATCCTGCACAGTAGTTAGTCATTAAATTAAATGCTCTGCTGCCACTTCCCGGGGAAACCTCCATGAAGTACCTGGTGTTCCCTAGAAGTAAAATTCCCTGCCTACCTCTTCCAGAAAAACTTGTTTTTACTGTAGGTGACTGAACGGAGTGACTGTGGTCCCCTCCAATTTTCTGACATACCCGCACATGGGCTGTCTCCCAGACAGGGACAAGTTTTGTTCTTAGGTTTGGATTAATCACTTTGGTGTCCCCTGATCCTGCTCAGGCATAGACCGGGCACCAGGTTTAACTATGTGTTGATGTAAGGTATCTGGTTATTGCTGTTGGCTTTGGACAACTCTACAGAGCATCTTTGTGTTGTAGGATTTACGGGCTGCCAAGGGGTGGGCACGTGGTTGAGATCAGCATATGGTCAGGCTGGCTTGGCAGCATGGAGCAACCAGCCTATGTTAGTGATAAAAGCCTGTCAGTCTCCTCTGTTTGGTTCTTCCTCTAAAATAATTTGGGAATTCAACACCTTCCCTGCTTCTACTGCTGGTTGGGGAAACTGAGGCTGGGCTGGACACTGGAGGGTGAATTGCCCTTTGCAGGCTAAAATTCAGCAGCAGATCTGCAAGGCTGAGTTGCTGTGTGCTGAAGTGGTATCTGTTTTTTTTAAGTATTTGGAGTTGGTCAAACTGCACCTTTTCACTATGTACAACTTCTTGAGCATCAGGAATGCATCTTGGAGGAAAGCAGACCCCCATGCAGGGCCTTATTTGTGTGACTGCTGGGCTGCTGGTGCTCCAGGGCACAGATCTTTGTCTTTTTTCTCCAGGTTTTATGATACCTCCAAGCAAGCAATAGGTGCCCTCTTCATCCACTTTGCCAATATTTTTCTGTCAGATCTCACTGAAGAGGACCCTTGCTCTCTGTAAGTACTCAAGGTTCTTGCATTCATGCCCCTACATCTGTAAAAGGAAGAAGCAAGTCTGTTGGAAAATGTCATACGTGGTGGAAAGTGATCCATTTGAAGCACTACATGGGGATAAACCATGCTGAGCTTATTTTCAGGGTCTGGGTTGTCTTCTGGTCTTTGCACTTTGCTGGTCTGATGGAGATGAAGTAGTACAGGCATGCTTTCCTGATGATTAAAAGCACCTTGAAGTGTACTGGCAAAAAGCTGCAGTAAATAATGCAGTGGTGTCCCATGCAATTTCAACTGTTAGATGTGTCATTTGTTTGCACCCCAGACTTTGCAATTTGGCTGGTCTCAGAGCCAAATGAGAATGCTTTCCTAACTGTATGGGTAAAGACCTTTGTCCAACGTAAGGTTTTTTGGGGATATTCAGTTTCACTTACCACATGTATTCCCACGTCTGGGGGGGATTTCTAAGCCAGACTTTGGACTTAATGTGGAAGAGCCACCTTTACTTCAGACGAAACCACTTTGCAGCTACAAACTTTGTTTCAGAATTAACTTTATCCTGTTTTGAGAAACTCGCCGAGTCTTCAAAATGCTGCTGAAAACCTTCTGGCCCATCTGCTTTTTATGTACTAAAGTGCTGCACGTTGATACGCTTCTTTAAACAAGCACAAGCTTGGCTGGAGCTAAATATAACCTCTAAAATGATTTATTGTTGTTTGAAAAACAGACACTGTTTTAAAATAAACCCTTTCGTGCTTATGCTGTGCCATTATTTTTTTTTTTTTTTTTAATGTGTGTTTTACATTTCCCTGTGCTGCTTGGCTTGTCATCCTGAACCAGGCAGCTTAAAACTCTACAGCCCCATCCCTGGGCTTTGAGGCTCATACACTGTGTCCTGCCCAGGATCAGAGTCTCATGTTTGTATTGGAGTACTCTGATTTCAGCAGCTGGAAACTGTAATAAGTTAGTCTGAGCCTTTGGATGTAGAAAAATTTAATATCGTGTTTTCAAAGTGATTATCAAAAGCAGATTGTTATTTTCAGTGTCTTTATTCAGAGGCAGTGTCAAGTTCTGGAGAAGGAAATGTTCATTCCCATTGCTCTTTTGGTATTTTCCAAAATGGTATATCCCATTGGTATTTTCTTCATGCTGTAGAAATCTGGCTTAATCTAGCAGAAAATATTCCAGTAATGGAAAACGGGCCAGAAAACACAGTCTAAATGATATTTATTTTTTTCTCTGGAATTCATTAAAATACCAAGCCCTGGATTAGAGTTTGGACCCTGCGATCCCCAGAAGGTCCCTGCAGTTCTCCTGCCTCTGGCGCTCTGTCCAGTAAGGCTTAAACATCCAAAGCTGCAGAGCAAACCTGTCGAGCCCAAATCTCCCGGTGTAGGGATGGGTTCAGCTCCTGGATCTGCAGTGGGGACCCTGAACTGAAGGCGTTGGGGACCCCAGGACACTTGCTGTTGAGCCAGGGCTCATCTCTCCTAAGACCTTCTGCCTCTCCGTCTGTGTCTCAGCTCGTAGGAGGCTCTTGCAGCTACTCAGTAAAATGGACTTTTTGCCCGTTCTGCTGCATGGTTTGCAGAGCAGCTGTGGTGTCCAAGAAGCTTCCATTTTCTTGTATGAAATTCCAGAAATGTTTGGTTCTGTTTCCCAGAAATTTGGGATTTCATCCTAATAAGAACAATGGGTGCTGCAAATGGAAAGCCTCATTTTTTGGGGTAACTCTTAATCAAGGCTAACCAAGGAAGTATTTAATGCTCTCTGAATAAATGAGAAATGCCATAGAGTTGGTGGAGCCCACTCCCTTCTCTGTTGAGCAGGCTTTTAAGCTAAGAAATTGCTGGTAAGGCTATAGGAAAGTCCACTAAAAGAAAAAAGGAAGTGAGGTTGGACTATTAAGTGGGAATTTTTAAATCTTGGGGATTTTTTTATGGATTCCCATATTGAAATAAAAGAGTTTTGAATAGGACTTAAGAACACAACTGAAACCTGAATTTTCCTCTGCTCTTAGCTACCTTATTAATTTCATCCTTGATGCCACGCTGGGGATGCTGCTGATCTGGCTTGGCGTGAAAGTTGTCTCCTGGATTGTGCAGCGTAAGAAGTGCACGTACCTGGTCTTTGGAGAATATGGTAGGTGTCAACCGCTCTGCACGAGGGTGGCTTGTTTGTTCCCAGCTATGAAGGGGGAGAAGAAAGGGGCAGAAATTACAGTTTGGGGACAAAACATGCGAGCGGCCTGATTCTGTTATCCCTTCTCCAGGGAGCTTATCCCAGTAGTAGTGATCAGTGTGTTTAATTGCTGGGGCATAGTAAGTCACATGTAACTCCCTGCCTGCTGCCTTGCCAAGCATGTTTGAGCACAGCGGACTGATGATGAAAGGCTGAACATTTCCTTGGGTGGACAATATACCTCATGATGTCCAGAGGATAAATTAAGATGTTTGGATGTGGTGGTGGTGACTTTTGCGGGCTGCTTTTAGGGATTTTTTTCTTCCTAGCCTCTCAGTTCAAAACATGGAGATTTTTTTGTATTTGCCTTGAGCTGTAGTAGGCATCAACAGGATACAGCCTGTCCCCAAAACTGAGTTCTTGATTGACTTGTGGGGTTTGAGGGGAGGGTGTTGAAGCCTGAGTGGTTTGGTTTTTTTTTTGGGGGGTGGGAAGAATTAAGTATGTTCAAATCTAGTCTGTCTCTTCTTCCAATTCCTGCCTTGAAATGGAGAAAAAGTTTCAAAAAAAATCCTTTCTCAGCCAGCCCCACTAGAGGGTAGCACTTCTCTTCAGAAAGAGCAGAGCCAGCTTCCAGGAGAGCAGCGCTGCTCCATGGCTGCAGGGAAAGGAAGAATTAACTCTTTGCCTATTTTTACATTATTATCTAATGTAAAGACAAATTCAGTCTTTATAAAATACATCCTGGTCATACCAATCACGTTCCCGCCTTTAAGACCTTAATCATTAAGTCTATTCTGGAGGTAGTCTCGCTCCTTTGTATTTTTAGTAGCTGGTGAAACTTGGACCAAACTAGAATTAGTGTGTAGACCCCACTGACTTGTGAGCTCTTACCCAGGCTCATGTTCAGCATGTGTAAATGGGTTTAAATGGGTCATGGCACACGATGAAGGGGATGGTTGGGTTTGTGAGACAGCAGAAGCAGCTACAGACTACGAATATGATGACAACAGAGGGGTTAAAATGATGGGACGTGGCAGGGTTGGCTCTCATCAAACCTGAGAGGGGCTTTAAAGGCTGCAGTGGTGTTCAGAGCAGGTTCAGCATCCTAACAGCATGCATTTGGTGGGAACTACCTTTTTTTCCCAGATGGCTCTTTCTGAAAGAGCTGAGGAGCCAAACCCGGAGCGCTAAAGTCATTCAGATGAGACAACAGAGGAATCCAGGTATTTTTGGTTCGGGGTCTGGCTTTTTTTCCCCTTCTGAGCAACAAGGACTTGAATCCCAATTTCAGGCATCTCAGGGTACAGCTTCAGCTTCACGTGCCACCTCTGCAGTTGAGCAGAAGCAAGAAAGTGTTAGAGTGTATTGACACCTTGCTTTAACCTTGCAGAGCAGTAATGAACTTACATTGAGCTGTGGCTGGCCCCTCACGAAGGCTGGCGTAGGCTGCAGAAACAGTCCACTCCTCTGAGGAAATCTTGCTTTCGTTGTTAATAATAATAATAAATTAAAAAAAAAAAACAAGTTTCTGCTGTTGCTTGAATTTAGCTTTAGAACTGGGGATTAAATATCTCATCCACCCAGCACTGCTCTTGGTGCAGGTCTCTGGCCAGAGTGACGACAATGGAAAAGTGGCATGTCCAATGCAATCCTGCTGTAGGGCTAGGGAAGGAAAACACTGCTGTCCTCATCGTGGGTGTTGGTAACTTCCAAAACAGTTTGGAACATGCTGGTAAACTTTGTACAGTTTGATACACGCTCCAGAAATATGATTCATTTTCTGGTCTAATTGCTGTACCAGACTTTCTGTTGCTTTCCTTAATTCTCCTGAGGAGCAAAAGTGTCTCTTGCAGTCCTGCAGAGGAAGAAGAGCACAGAAGACCCAAATCCATTTTTCAGACAGTGGTGAATGCCATTACTCCAACCACCAGGAAAGAACAGTTGTGTCTTTTTCCTGTAGAGCCAGTACACATCTACCTGCATGGTCTTTGAGGAAAAAATAACGTTGCAAATGCTTCCTTTCCGACCCTCCAACTCTTGGTTGCCTCCCTGCAAGTGATACAGACCACTGCTGTTACCCCCTGTTCGGGGCTCCAGCAGTCCCTTCTGCTCCGCTCTTGGTACGCCTGTCTCCACAGCCCCGAGGTGGTTCTCCCTGTGTGACTGCAAGAGCTGCATTAATGGAGAAGCAAAGACAACGGGAAACATCTAAATCTGTGCTGTTATTTTAAGCATCCAGCTGTCCAGAACTGTTTAGAAAAATCAATTGCTTTCGTATTTCTATAAACCCAGAGGCGGCTGTTCTGAGATCAGCCCCTCTTGTGCCTGAGCTCTTAGCCAAAGACTGCTGCAGCCAGGAATGACCTGGTTTTTAACTAGTGGAGAGTCAAAGGCTCCCATATGCTTACGTTCCTCCATCTTTTCCCAGCAGCTCTTGATTACTCTTTGGACTGTCTCTAAGCACAGGAAGCTGCTCTTTAAAAGGCTGATGTATCTTCTGAAGATGCTTGGCTTCTGAGTCCGAAGATTGGAGAGGTTTATTCTTCATCTTGGTTCAAGTAGGATTTGGAGAATGATCGTTGCCTTACAGATACTCAAAGCTATCAAATTCTACAAGTACTCTGTGCACCATTGCCCTAGCAGGGTAGCCGCAAGCCATGTCTATAGGTGCTCTATAGGGGACTTCTACAGGTAGGAGAGCAAAGCAGAGTTCAAGCTTCACAGGACTTTGGAGGTGGATACCCAAGGTCTTGGAGGTGCTGCTGGGCCTCTACAGACTGAGCGAGGGAGATGCTGGCTGGAGTCAGAATGTGCAGATGAAGCCTTTCAGCTTCATCCTGAGACTGTCTTCAACTTCACAGTGTTCAGCTTCGTGCTCCAACTCTGAACTGCTCTAGCCCTCCTCTCCCTCCCCCATTCCCATGACAGTAAGCAGCTCCCTACAGGGAACCTCTGGATGGATCCACTGTCCTGGCATTGTAGTTGTGTCTAATAACTCTAAAGTATTACTTTAAAAATACTGGAGTATTCCTTTTAGGTAAGCAAACTCTATGAATTTGCATTAAGAGACGGTTTCTGCAACGTGCAAGTACAAAGCTGAAGAGAAGCATTAAGAAATGATGGGGAGAAAGAGAGAGGGTGTTCTTGCTTGAAAGTGCCTCTCTGGATGCCCATCTAGGTGCTGACTTGTGTGTGACTCTGGTTGCGATCACTGACTAGTTTAAGCTTCATGCTTTGTGCCTGTTCACTGTCTGGAAATGGAAAGGCATGTTGCTTGGAGGCCTTTCATGTCTGTTTAGTGGCCTGTTGAACTCTGCTGGTCAAATTTAGTTATAGGAGAATATGCGCTGTGCCAGCTGCTGAGTTTAACTGAGGACCTGTGTAGGCTGCTTTTGGCCTTGTTGTGATGTTGTACAAAATTTCCATAACAAATATTCCCATGGCCTGAGGCAGCCAAGGGAGCTGGCTGCTAATGCTTGAGGAAATGCTGCTGAGAATAGCTCTAACCTGAGGGGCTGTCCTGTCCTTAGCAAGCTTGATCTTTCTACCTCCAGGACCAGGGAGGAAAAAATGAGAGGACTGAGGATCATCCTCAAATGGTGAAGTGTGTGGTCAAGTCCCTTGCTCTGAGCAGAGGTGCAATTCTTTGAACCTTCCTGGGCCTGGCTGATAGCAGCAGTGTTTACTCCAGTGCAATGGCAGTATCTCCAGGGACTGAAGAGCCAGAGCAGTGGTGTGACACTGCAAACGGGACTGACTGCAGCTGTACACTCTCTTGTAGTCCAGATGCAGAACATGCCAGAGAGGGTTTGGTATGTCCACTGGACTCATCTGGCTGCTCTGGTGCCAGATTGTCCTGCCCATAACTAGTGCAATTGTTGGTCAGCTCCCAATCTCTGAAATCCTGTTCTTACCCTCAAACTGAGCATTTATGTGCAATTCAGATGCTTTCCCGCTATGTCTTACCCTCTGTACTTGGCACTGATAGATTCCTTGGTTTTGGAGGTACTGAGTATCTCTTAAGAGGTTTTTATTGACTTTTTCTATCCCCACCATGTCACCCAGTGCATATTTCAGTGCTTTAAAATATTTGCTTTTCCTCAACTCTGCTGAACCCTCTGCTCTGGCTGTGGTTAAGCTCTTTTTTCTTCTTACCTGCTTAGTGCACACGCAGTCCTCAAAAGACCGTAAATAAAGCTGTCTGGCAGTAGCACGTGGGCTGTGCTGGCAGCTTGGTACCTTAGTCAGGATTAAAACTAATCCAGTTGTATGGTAACAATTCAAGCTTTTGCTCTGTGAACATTTGGGCTCCCACGCACAAGCGGAATAAGAGATGTGTGTTTTGGAGGTTGCTGCAGATACCAGTGGTCCTAGATCTGCACCAAGGAGGTGTTGCTGATAGTGGGGACCACCAGCAATGCTGCTGGAGGAGAACAGTCTAAATGCAGCGTGTGTGTCCTTCAGGGTGAAGGAGGATATTTATTTCTATCAGGGTGGGAGATGGCTCTAAGAAAAATTAAGCAAAAGGTGTTCGTTAAGCTGAGAGGTGGGTGGTAGAGTCCCTGTGTAGAGCCGAGGTGTCCTGGGTCATCTGCCAACTAGGACTAGGGACAAGAAACTGGAAGTGTTCAAAGAGGGCACAGTGCATGTAATTTCCTAACAGGTGTGATGTGGAGGCTGCAAAGATCCTTTGTACTTGCTCCCCCCCTCTTCTACAAGGGAAGGGAAGTTCTGAACACAGCAGAGGAGGGCATTTATTTTATTTTTCTTTTAGCCTTCAGATAGCAGATTGTTTTTTGCTGGCGGGCAATCTTGTGTAGCAGAAACATCCCTGTTACATTTATGTAATGGAAACGCTTGATACAAGAAGAATCCCCTCCCATCCATGGAGCAGGGCACCTCTGCATGGCAGATGGTCTATTGAAGACATTAAATTTCATCTGAGGATGTCTCTGATGATCTTGCCGTAGGAAGCCAGCACCTAAATGCGGTGCGTGGTTAGCTGGGATCAGCTCAAGATTCCCAGCCTTGCTTCCAAGCTGCGGAAGGAGGAGATGTGGCCAATGTCTTACGGGCTTGTCCGGGGACCACACCAAAGGCTCCCTCTTACCTGGTGAGATGCCAGCTGATGGTGACTTGTATGTTACTGCTGTTAGTCAACGTTAGATGAATTGGTGGTGAATGAGAATTGGATGATGGCTGTTGGAGGTGGATCAATGGTCCTTGGATGACTTCAAACCCGCTGAGATAAGGAGCAGCCAGCTGAGCTCCCCGGTGAAGAGGAAATGAGCCACTGTCTCTCTATAGCTGAAGTCACTTTTGCAGCCATGTGGGCCATGCTGCTGTTTCATTTTCATCTTTGTCCCGAGTTATTTTGGTACTGAGCATCCTCCTGTCCTTAGGAGATGCAGTAAAAAGTAACTGTGGAAACACCCTCTGATCTTCCTGTCGGGGGGTGGAAATGAAGTCCTATCTGATTCTGCATCCAGGGATAGATTACTGTACAGAAACATCTCATCCCATAGTCTGTAAACAAAGCTCAGAATGGAAAAGGAGGAGGAAGATCTTGCAAAACAGTAGCAATTTTGAGCTGCTTAAGGTGATAGAGCAGATGGCTAAATCTGGCTTCTACATAAGTCTGTGGGTCTCTTTCCATATACTTTCACCGTCTAGCCTGGACATATAAGAAGTCCTGATGTCCCTCTAACTGTGGAGGAGATTCACAGCATCTTCCGTAGGTGATGCAGAAAAGACAGAGTGAGAAATACTAGTTTTTAAAGCGCCATGTCTGTGATGGAGGCACTTTTGGCAAGGTGGGACGTGGTGGGTAGTAAGGGGCACAGCTCTGTCCTGCTTAGTAGTGCAGGCTTGCTGTACCAATTGCACATGCCCTGTACACTTACCCAGTGAAGCTGGCCTAACTGGGGCACACCTCTGGTCTCAGAGGACTGGGGTTCCCTGGGTAGGATGTTGCAGTTGCACAATAAAAACTGTTCTCTAGCAAAGGGAGAAAAGGTTTTCCTTTTTCCAGAGGTTGTCAAGCCTCAAGAAAACTCAAGAGCAATTTGATGGCTTTCTTGTGAAGTGAAAAACTTTTTTTGGGGTGAGGAGCTGTTAACCTTGGAGACATGGGCACATCCATGCCTAGGGTGGGTTAAGAAAAGCAGGTTGTCTTTTCTAGTGTCTGTGTATCATCCTGGTTAGCCAAAACCTGGGTAGGGCTGTCTAGTGCACAGTATGCAAAAGTAAGACCCAGAGCCTGCTGTTTGTGATGCTGAATGGTGGTGACCTCCTATGCCCAAAAAGGTGTGAGGGGTCAGGTATTTGGGAGAGATCTCCAAACTTGCTACTGCTTTTTGGACAAGCTGCGATGACAGAGGGAAGTGTTCCACAAGTGGCCTTGCGCCTGCAGCACGGAAGAGCTGACTTGCAAAGGGTGCTGTGGCTGTTAGTCCTGTCTCCCCACGGGGAACAGAGCACAGCTGACAACACAGAGCAAAAGGGAAAGAGTTCAAATGCAGGAAGGACACGATGGATATGTTTGTTTTCTGTTTTGGTTTTTTTTTTTTTTTTTCTGAGTACAAACAAAACAGGGCTCTGGTGGGTGATGGTAACCTGGGGGGGTTGTAGGAGAATTGGTCAGTCTTGGGATATGGGGCAAAAAAGCCCAACTATACCTAACTTGTGCCAAAGACAACTAGGCACCCAAGTCTATCGGGAAAGGCTGTCCATGCTTCAGGAGCATCAAAGCCTCTCTGACACTGGCCTTTAACTGCCAGCTGCCTATAGCTGTGCTCCGGTCGCCTCCACAGACCACCCATTAAGCTGTTGCCTGCCAGGAAGCGGAGACGTGTGCTTTCTGAAATCCTCAGCGGGCTCCTCTGGTTGCTCTTGCACGTAAACCTTCCTGGCTCCCCTTCCCCACCCTCTGGGCGGTTGCCTGCTGGTCTGGCGTTCTCTGCTTGCTGTCCTCCCAGCTCAGCAGCCTCTCGGCACCCTTGGCTTCCCAGTCCTTCCCGCTCTTCTCCTTTGCTTCCTTCTCAGTCGCATCTTGAGCAATTAAAAAGTTGGGATGCAGAGTGATCTTTTGGATCTCCCTGGCATGGAGACACTAGCTGGATGCCTCTACTTCTTAGCTGTAGCTTTGCAACGAGGCAGATGTTTTGGTATGTTGCTAACAAATGACAGAATAAGGACAAATATACACATAAACCTGTTTTGCCCTTGCTGGGAAGCAGATCCTCTTAGAGCTGAGTTTAGTTGGATACTAGCTCTTACTAAATCCTGATACGTGTTGCTGGCCTCGGTGGCCAGATGCCTGCATAGAGGTTTGGATAAATGGGCTTTTGCAAACCACTGGTGTTGTCTTCCCCTGCCACGTCTCAACAATATTGTGCTGTGAAGAGTGGGACAGAGCTCCCTGTCCACTGCCATCTGACTGTGTGTTGAGCATTGGCATCTCGCGGTGGGTTGGGTTCTCTTACACAGATGCAATTCCAAATTCTGGCCCGATTATGCTGGAAACAAGTGTTGCCAGGAGTTATCTTTATATTCAAGTGGTAAAAGGAAATGCTGCAGCTTTCCAAAGCCAGATACTGTAGCTCAGTTTTGCAGACCTGAGATATTCTGATGAGCCTGGGAAGATGATAACCAGCTGGCAGGGTGCTTACAGAGGGCTGAAGCAAGCACATGTAATAGATACGGTACCATTATCGTTGTTAACAATGCAAATATGCTTTTACTTATTACTTGGTAAGTACCCCATTGGAAACATTCATATTTAATTAGCATTGATTCTTTTTGAGTGAATTGCTCTAAAACCTGGAGGAATGGAGCCCCTGTCTCTTGCTCAGACAGCAAGTATCACATAACCAGCCCTACACTTCATCAGCAAAAAAAATTAATTCTCTTTAGGACTGAAAGCTTATGCTTCTTGTATTGAAATTGGTGAGCAGAAATTTTCAGACTGTTGCTGGAAGCTGGGTGGGTAAGGCTTGGCAGGAAGCAAATTGCAGGTGATGTTTTTAATGACTGGTGTTTTTTGTTTTGTTTTTTTTTTTTTTTTTTTTTTTATAGAGGAATATGCAGGATACACATTGTATACATTGGTCCTTGTATAGAGGAGGGTCAGTCCAGCAGTATCTTGTTTTAGCGATTGCTATTGGGATTAGCCTTAATTCAGAAGGGATTATCAGTCTACCATTCTGGTCAAAACGGCCAGGATTTTATGAGCTGCTCCTACCCACTGGAAGGATGGAGGGACAGCGAAGGGGACCCATCTCTGCACACTTTAGGTTTGCCAAAGTGAAGAGAAATTAAATCTCTGGTATCTTGACAAAAGGGTACCAGACAAGGGGCAAATGAAATGGCTGATGTCCCAAAGCAATACACGCTTGTAAGGAACAGTTTGAGTATGATGCTGAGGTTTTTGAGCTTTGAAGCTTTCTCTAAGGGGGATTTTAGTAGTCTGTACTTTGAGGAGAGGGGATACTTACACCCTTTGACAAGCAAGGCTTCCTCCTCTCAAACCCCTGTATCCATCCAGTTCAAAATAGCTCATTACCGTGGGGTGGTCACTGGCAGTGCCCATTGGAGGTGGAAGGAGAGGGGAAAATGCATCTCCAAGGCTGTGTCCATTCTTTCCCCCCAAGCAGAGGACAACATATTTGTTATCCAAACCAAGATTCATAAAAGTTGATCCTGTCTCCTTAGAGTTACCAGGAATGGCTTTTCTATTAGATACTCATGATACTGCTGAGCTGTGGCCCTGGAGAGACCAGGAATGTCTGAGTGCTGGGGCTGCTGGATAAACATGGGGAATTTCAGGTCTTCAGGCAGAGCCAGAGCTGTGTCTCCCCTTTTACAGAAGCCACCTGTCTGCCTTGTAGGACACTTGTAGATCTTGCTTCAGCAAAGGAGTTGATCTAGAAAGGACAGGCAATGGGAGAGGAGATGCGAGGCAAGAGGATTTGTTTGGTGGTGGTTTTCTGCTCTTGGTGGATTTCAGGGACAGGTTGGTGGAATGGAGAGCAAGGCAAGAGGAGGATGAATACAGATAACATTGGCATCTGGGAAGTAGGTAGGGGGGTTTGAATCATGTCTGAAATCCCTTTGTTACTTGCTTGCCCTTGAAATTAACCAGAGGTCTGTTTAATTGCCATCTCCATTTCAGAATTGGCCCTAAAAGGAGTAGAGAAAGAGAACCGGCTTCTAGAACAAAAGGCTGGCAGTGGGAGTGTTGTCTGTGTTGTCTCATGAGGGAGATCTCTCTTCCTTAAAGCCAAGTTTAATTCAAAAGCACAACTGCAGTATGAAGGACAGATAGCTGCCCCGATACAGGGAGTCTGCACAAAGGGAAGCGGGGTGCATTTTTGCCTTTCTGCACTTATTTTTCTACATCAGTTTGCAAAGATGCAAAATGAGCTGCATCTAGTAAGGGATGCAAGTCTGCTAAATTTTCTCTAATACAAGTCAGACTTGCTTTTTTTAAAAAAAAAGAAAAAAGAAAAAAAAAGATTTGAGCCCAAACCTTTCTGCATGTGCTCCTACAACTATAGATAGAAAGTCTGTCCATTAATTTTAAATCTGGTATTGAATATTTGTCTCTTTGCAAAACCTGCAATATGGAAACATTTCCCTCTCCCTTTGATCATCTCGGGTATCAAGCATGAGGCAACTTTTCTGCAAGGCTGTCCCCTCCTGTCCTCTGTCTCAGATTTAATATGCTGTTTTCCCAGGTGATCCTCCACAAGCTGCTGCTTGGATTGGCCAGTGTATCCTCTACTTGCTAATAATGGTTTTTGAGAAGACTGTGATTAGCCTTGTCCTGCTTATCCCTGGTTGGACAAAGGTAAGCTTCAGAGCTGTATTTTTCTTGCTACAGTTATTGTGGCTCATTTCTTGTCAGCTTTGCCTTATTAGTTGTCCCCATCATCATAGGTCTTGAATCCTTACGACATGTTGACATCTCTTTGTAATCATTAGCTATTACTTAAATTTGGGGAAACATCACTTTCATAACAGTTTGGCTTTTGGTACATCCTCTTAGTAGTCAAACATTACTGGAATAAGATGCTTTAATTTTCTTTTCCATCCTTGAAAGGATACAGTGGGCTGGGCTGGCAGCTGAGCTACTTCAGTTCTGCCAAAGGATTTCTGCATTACCTTGTCAAATCAGTTCATGTTGGTGTTTTGTGATCACATGCCTAAACTAGGGGGGCTCTGAAATTAATTTAGAAAAACTATCCCAGCAGCATGCTGTCCTTCCCCCCCGTAACTGCTTCTGTGTAGTAGCTCATGCAATGGTAGTTGTGTTGAAGATAAGTTTCTCTTTTAAAAAAATAAAAATAATATTTCTGTGACAGCTGTAGCCACATACCTGGTGGAAAGTAGATGTGATGAGTATAAAAACCAATTCTGGGTGTTGATGGATAACTCCAGTTTTGAGTGCATTTACACATAGTGCCTGGTACCTCCCAGGCAGATGTGACTTGACTGAGAAGTTATTTGCAGCGATCTGGAAGCACTTGTCTGTTCCTGTGAAGGGCATGTCCTTCTAACACAGTAGTCTACAGTCCTGACTTGGACGTGAACATGTCCAGCAGCACGCACTGCTAGATCCAGAGATGCTGCTGGCTTTCTCTCCACACTTACCACGCATGGCTGGTGTCCTTATTTTGCAGTTAGGCTTCAAGGAGCCAAGGAAAGTCCCACCAGTTGTCACGGGTAGTTAAACTGAAAGACTAGCAGTACTTATTTTTTGATCTGTACAAAATCCTGTGTTTGGCAGCTGGGCTAAAGGAATAGCCCATGTAATCTTTCTAAGAGCTGGTGTAAAGCAAAGGCTGCAGAGCTCTAGCTAAGAGACTGCTAATGTAAGAAGGCAAGCAGTTCTGCAGCAAAGATCTCAATAGAGCTGTTCCAATAATGCTTCTGAATGCTTTCTCCTCTGCAGCTTCAGCAGATCCTCCTGGGTTACATCCCAAACCCCCAGCTGGAGCTTGTCTTGGTCATGCTTGTTGTGCCTTTTATAGTCAATGTAAGTGATGCCTCTGCAAGCACTGGGTGGGGTGGGTTGGAAATCATGGTTCCCTCCCACGGGGAGCATGTACAGGAACTGGCCTGGGGCAGCCTTGAGTATTTGAAGTGGCTGGGACATGGTGGAGGGGAGTGGAAACAAATATATTTGTTGCCATGAATACACAAATATGTCACTACTGCCCTGCCATGGGCTCTGTTCCTATTTCCTGCTCCCTTGTCCAAGCTGTTGGGTGGCTGACTTTGAAGAAAACTGGTGCTTATTAGCTGAGGGTTGCATCTTGGCAGCAAGCTACAGGCATGGCAATCCCTCAAAGCCCTTTAAGTTCCTATCGGATGGCTTTTTTTCTCTCTTCATTGGGTCTTCAACAGCTATGGAATCAACAGGATTTATTTGAGAAGGGATCTCAGAAATTTGACTCATCCAACCCCCATGGACACACTTGGTGCAGGGTTAATTTAGATATTAAATTAAGTTGATCAAGGATGCACATCTGGAGAAACCAAAAGCAAAAGAAATAGCTGTGATTGAACGACTTTGTATTTTGGTCTCTGCAGTCCATTCATGCAACTTCTTTCTCCCCAAGGCCATTATGTTCTGGGTTGTGGACAGCTTGATCATGAGGAAATACAAGCAGAAGGACACACTGGACATCAATGGATCCATAGAAGCTCCTCGGAGTAAGAGGACTGAGGAATCTCAGGTAAGACCAAGGATGTCCAGTGTTTGAGACCAAACTGCAAGCTTGTGACCTGGTATCTGTGCTTCACCACCTACACGTTGCCTAGGCCTAGGACAGTGCTTCATGCGTGCAATTAGTGACCCTTCTAAGTCAAACTGACTTTCCATGCCTTGTAGCTGAGGTCAACAGAGGGATGTTTTCTGGGACAATCTGGCCCTGTCTAGCAAAGAGAAATATTACAGACTACAAAGTGTTGCTGAAATACTGCTCTAAATGATGACAGTATCATGTGGGGGATGAGCTAGCTTTTGCACTAACCTGTGTGGGCTTGCTGGAGTGGCAGGCTGAAGCTGGTTTGTACCTCTGCACTGTCTCTTTCAACTTTCCCATTTTTAATTTTAATTAATCTTGCCCTAGAAGAGCTTACTTTCCATTGTGTAATTGGTAACATGCTTTTTAGAGGACAAGGCCTAGCTGGGAATTCTATTTTTATTAGTGTTTGGTGTTTTTTTTTAGCCAGATGATGGTCTTTTAGCCATAGGAAGCTGTATTTTGTCTAGTCTGAGCTTGACACCTAAAAGTTAAGGAGGGGAGGAAGTGCTCCAGTCCCAGCAGACTTTGGTTTTGTTAATGACGTGTAGTTTGCTGGGCAGGTGGTGTCTGTGATTCTCATCAGCTTTTGGGCAGAGACCACAACCTGAGTCCGTGGGTTGAATTCCCTTCCTTCCCCTGGCACCCAGGCCCTGTTTCAAAGTGGTCTGTGTACGACTGCTGATATCACACAGTTGACTGGCGAGACTTGCTGAGATAAGATAGCTTCTGGCAGTTGCAAGCTGGCTCCTGGAGTAGCTTCTGCTGAGGAATTTAGGATGAATGAAAACAGCTCTTGCTTTCTGAGAGCTCTTTCATAACACGTAACTGCCCTTTGGTGGCTGGAATGGCCAGCTACTGATGGCATTGCAACACCCACGGAGGCAATAGTGTTCAACGGCGTGCTTGGCAGTCTGCACAGCAGCGACGGCTTCCACCGCTCAAGGGCACAGTGGGGAAGCAGCCACCGCTCGCGGGGATGCGGCGTTGGAGGCATCCTCCTTCTGGCAGGATGGGCAGGCAGATGTGAGCAGCTGTTGAGACAAATGAGTCACTCCTCCTGGCCCGGTCCCCAGATAAACAGCTGTAGGTTGGCGGGATCACTAGAAACGCGTGAACAGTGCGCTCCAGGGAGTTCTCTGACTGGTGTGTGTGTGTGGTGAGGGCATCCTCGAGAAAACTTCTGTTGTTTTGGAGAGAGGAGGGAAGAGAGGCCTGAGCTGGGCAGTACCAGTGTGTCTTGATAGTTGTGCTTTGAAGCCAAGAACTTATACCTGGAATGTGAAGGTGGATTAACTCTGGGCATGAACATCTTCCTGGTTATGGCACAGTCCCGGTTTCTTAGCGATGGTTGATGTTCAAGAGTTGTGCTTCCTTGAAAGGGCTAGGTTGGAGGTCTGCTCCAAATACAAAAGTGGTGTTGAAGATCTGCCTTACTGACTGGATATGCTGGTGTGTTAAACCTGAAGGTTTAAGATCGGTTAAAATTACACCAGCTCAGAAACAAGGGTAAGGAGGTGGCATGTCTAGTCGAGACACCAGTCTCCTTTCCAGACTTTCCAAAACTAATTTTGGAGCATCTAGTCTTCTAGATAGCTTGCTGCTGTGAATACACAGATGGTATTGCAGTTAATGGTTTTCCATGGAAATGGAGCTGATCCTCTTCTTTGTTCCACTGAATGTGGGGCAAGTGTTTTGTGGCCTCCAGATCAGTTTTGGATGATCTGGAGGGAAAGTGCCTGTTAATCTCCAGAAGCTAGGAAAGGCTCTTCTAGTAGCTCAACTAAACAGGTTGATTCAATCAGTGGAAACTGGACTCCCACAGTCTGACTCTTGTTGTCAAAGGCTTCTTCTGTCTTCCAGGTACTTGACTCTTTTTCTCAGACAAATTTTTGCTGAGACCTTCAATGTGCAGGTCATCTGTCCATCTTGAAACCCTCTGATCCATCACAGCTGTGGTTCTATCAAGCAGACTGGTTTGTACCTGGAGCAGTCTACAGGGGTCTACTTTCTTTCTGCTCAGACATGTTCATGTTCCTCTGGCCCAACAAATAGTTAGGGTAGAGAAGGCAGGTAATGACGAAATACAGAAGTGGGTGATCTGCTTTTCCAACTATGTTTCTTGGCATTGGTCCTTGAGGTATAGCCATAGACTTCATGTGTCAACTTTTTTGGGCTATGAATTAAAGGTTATGTTGGCTGGCTGGGCCTTACAGCTGGATTTGTTGGAATTTAGGCTTGAAAACAGAACTTGAGGTTTGCTGCACTCTTTGCTGCTAATAACCTATTAAAGTTGGGGAATTTCTTCCTTCCCTGCTGCCCCACGAAGAGGGAGGGAGGAAGGCTGAGAAGCATCTCTGTACAGGGCAGAGCTGGCTGAGGCTAATGTGTCCCGCAGTTTATCAGGGTTCATCAGGGCTGTCTAGCAGCAGGCGCCAACAGCTCCCCATCATGCTGCCTTCTTGAATTTCAACCCTCTGTCTATCTCGCCAATAGAGACTCTCATTATTTTCACTCGAACTAGCAGTTTGTGTTTGGAAAAGGAAGGGGAGAGAGGAAGGAGAATGGAAAGGGCGGGCTGGAGTTAAAAACCCACACTCAGTATTTTTTATAGGGATAGCAGGAAAATGGAGCTTTGTCCTTGTCTTGGTAGACCAGCTGCGTAGCAAGACAAAACCCAGAAACCAGCCACCCTGTCACTGGTGTCACTTACTGACTCCATGGCTGTAGCATAGACCAAAGAGCTGGCAGTCTCTTGTGGGATTTAAGGCTCTTCTGGTGAGCCCCACGATGGGCTATTGCTTATAATGGAGCAACTACTGAACTTTTTTACATTGAAACTCTGAAAGAGACAAACTCGCTCTATGGCTGGATGAATTTCACAGTTCCTTCCAAGTCAGTCATAAAGCTTTATGTTGTTTCAAACTTGTGCCCTGCCTTGGTAAATTTTCACGCAGTCTTTTTTGCCCTCTTGTGGGATGGAAAAAGATCTCTCGAGTCTCAGCCTGAATCTGGTGCTGTTCAGGCTGAGGAAATGCATTCATCTGCATGGCCCTTATTTCTGCTTTGTATGTGTCCTGCCCTTGACCTGAGTCTTTTTTCCCTTGCCCTTGTAAGTGCCAATAAACTTTAGATCTTATCAGTGATTTCTTTGTTTCCTACACTCAGGAAAACAACTCAGTTTTAATAATGTTTTATTTGATCTTTTTTTTTTGAGCTTGTTTCTAGTTTTTTTTCCCCAAGGGTGATGTGTGAGTTTCTGCTCCTTTTCTGAAGGCTTATATTTTTCAGAGATGAGCCTTAAAGCAAAATTTGGTCTAATAACAGTGGTACTTGTGAGAAAGGTTAGGGTGAAACTAGAGGCTAGTTTAAGGTTGGGAGGAAAGCTAATATACCACATGGGGACCACCTGCTTCTGGTCAGCATGGAGTCTAGCACCTATCCCAATTCCATTCACAGGAGCTGTGACTCTTGGCGAATCCCTAGACTGAAGATGCTGATGAATGTCAATATTTATGATGCTTGCTTTTAAGTATTAAAGAATACTCCAAGAATGAGTTTGACTTGGTGGTTGCTTAACTGAGCTGATTTTTAAGTAGCTCAAGGTGAACTAAGGTGCCTGGTCCTTATGGAGAAGCAAAATGAAGGTGGGGATAGAGGTGCCTCTGGAAGAAGAGTCTCCCACCTGTCAGCCCTACTGACTCATGGGAATTTATCGAAGTTCAGATGCAGGAGGACGGTGGGTTGGTTCCTACCTCTAGCCAAGCTGGTGGAGCTTTAGGCAATCAGGTTTCCATCTCTGGCAGGTAAATGGCCCCAGAGCTTCTTTGTTTTACAACCTGTGTCAGAGAGATTGCACAGACAGATGAGAAATTTTTCTGCTACTGAGATGGCTTGAGTATCTGAAGGGTCTGCTTGGATGGGGTACCAAACCAGTAGGCAGACTCTTTCCCCAGACAGGAGGGGTTGGCAGACCACCTGGGCAGCCCAGTTTGGGTAGCGTGACCCTCACTGTTTTGCAAGCTGCCGGCCTCCTGGTGCGGTGAGGAATGCATGAAGTATTTGAGGACTGCTGAGTGAGACAGTAGCACATTGTCCTGGGACTGGGAAACCGTGGTCCATTCCCAGCTGTGCCACCCCGACCTGCTGTGATCCTGACCTGGATGCATCTGCAGGGGAAGTGCCTTGTCCAAGTCGTGCTGAAAATTCCCAAACTGGAGTTTGGCTTGAAAACCGTATCTGAGGGTATGTCCCATGACTGTCATAATGATGAGGTGCTGTCTCATGATGGAGCTCCCTGAGGAATTGTGGAAAGGTTACTGGGGAACTGTTGGCCTGAGCAGTTTCATACGAGTTGTATGGTGGGCAGGTAGCAGCCTGAGCGGGTCTGGATGCACAACCCTTAGTGCCTGCTCAGTCATCCATGCTTGGCTTCAATGGGATTTGAGTTTGCAGCTGGAGCTCACTGAAATTACCAGTTCATTAGGCCCCAAAACTAGCCTGCTGTAGCCTGTCAGAGTTCAGTGAGTTTCTAAGGATGTATGTGACTAATTATCCACTCATTTTTTCAGGTTCAACAGCATCACAATATTAAAATGATAAACAGAGGATATCCTCGCTTGGAAGATATGAAAACTTTCCAGTGTGTGTCTTGAACCAAAAAAAAATTCCTTGAGACCAATGGGGTGTGGGATAGGAGAGCTTAATCTGATCTACTGCTATCCTTTGCATGTCTGACATGCTGCTGTGAAGATAACATCATCAGATGGAGGGGCTAGAGTGTGTGTGAGGGGGGGAAGTAAATCTTCCCCTGTGCCTCTTAGGCTCCTTTGAAGTCATTGACTCATTGCAGTTTGTTTTTCCAGTTTAGTTGTTTTGTTGCTGTGGTGACTGGCCCTGTGGTGCTGTCTGAGTGCTAACAAGTGGAGGGCATGTTAATTCACAACTGTGCCCGGAGATAGCCACAGATAAGATTAATTCCCTCATGTTCCTGGTTTTGCCCAAGCTCCAGCTGTTGGGGACATACTGCAGGTGCATGTGCTTGGCTGAAAGCCTGTGCACCATTCCTTGACTTGTGCCTTTGAGCTAGGAGGCTGCTTGCGAGTCAGGCACAGGGAGGCTTCATAGTACATTGGTTCAGTCTTCGGAGCAAAGTGGGGCTGGATGGGGCTGAGGCTTGGGTGGGAGGTCTCCACTGCCTTGCTGGAGGAAGCTTTGTTTGTGGGGGTGGTTGTGGGACATGCCCTTCATCCCTGCATCAGCCATGAGCAAATAATGCTATTTGGGTTCTGTGATGGGCAAGTGGAGGGAGGAAGAGGGGCTGCTGGCATTGCTCATCTAGGGAAATATCCCTGGAAGCTCTACTGTGCTGTTAGGTTTGTGCCCCTCTGTAGTTAGGTGCTGAGATGCCCAGGACGTGGCCAGGCTTCTGATGTCATGACCAGTGTTGACCAGAAATTCCATGACTTGATTGAGCCCCCAGGTACTGCCGGGCATGACACAAGCTGTAGCACAAGGGTTGACTGCACTGGAGCAGTGCTTAGAGCTAGCTACTCTCAAGGCTAATGAGGGGTAGGGCTTTTGTTGCCCAAAACTGGGTTTTTGAGGTAAGAAGAGCAGATAGGATGGATTTGAACAAACAGTCTGTCAAGCCATGCAAACTAGTCATCCAGCCAGCCTGCTGCCTTTGGGTTTTAGCTCTCCTGCAGTCAGTGCAGCCACACCCTGAGTGAAATCCGTCCTTTTTCCTCTTCCAGATGATGTGGCTGGAGGATGCCCCACGTGTGGCTCTGTCTGCAGCGTGCAGATGCTCCAGGCCGGTGGCAGCCAGTTAGCTTGAAACAGCCTGTTGGTAGCTTCAAGTCTGAAGTTAGCTGCTGAGAGCGTAGGTGTTCCCGGAGGCAACGGGCAGCCTTTTGATCGTGCAGCAAAGCTGAGAGCTTTCTTACCTGGAGAGATACTAGTGAGAGGTGTCAGTGCTCTATTTTGGCTCCCACAATTCCGACTGAGCTAGGAGCTGCTGTGCCAGGTAGAAATAAGATGCTGCCAGGTTAAGACACCGTTCCTGAGCTTGCTGGCTGTGGCTGAAACTAAGTCTGTAGCTCTGCTTGCTCTCCTGGTTGAGCTCTGGAGATAGCAAGTAGCTGGGGGCCTGGGAAAAGGTCTACATTTGTTACACCTGTTTGCAAAATAGGTGGCCTAGTTTTTGTACATCTCCACTGAGGCTGCAGCCTGGCCTGAACGTGAACGTCTGTGTGAGTCCTGTCCCATGGTGAACAGAGCTTTTAGCCGCCTGCTCTGCTCTTGAGGGGAGGGGAGGTTGGGACACCAGATGATCATGGTGTCTCTGCCCAAATCTGGCGGTTGTTGGAGAGATGGTCAAGGTGACCTTGAGACCTTTCCCATCTGCCAGAGAGGATGAGATCTTGCAGCAGACCTCTCAAGGGGTGCTTGACCCCTTCGGCAAGCAATATCAAGAAGAGCTGAGAACTTTCATTCCATCAGCATCTGTCTGTTCTCTCCATTCTAGGTATTACTCTCTCCAGACATGGATTTTGATCAGTCTGAAAGCGACCAGGATATTTCAGGACTCCAGGGAACGAACCAGAAGATGAAACAGCCCAGCTATCAAGTGGTCATCTGACAACACTGAGACAAGGGAGGTGGAGGAAGGGAAGTAGCACTGTGATCCTTGAGCTGGCCAAGGAAGGGCAGGGTGGGGAACTCCAGTGGATCCCTGTGAATCTGCAGGGATCCTTTTGCCTGCCTCATCTAGACCTGTCCTTCTGCATTTGTCTCTTTGGGATGGTGTCTGTGCATCCTATGTGGGCTTGAGCAGTATCTGCTCTACCTGTCTGACCCTAACCTGCACACATGCAGGCACGTTGAGGTTACGGGTATGGATATGTGCTTCCCCTGGCTGGCCAGCTGGGTGTAACTTTGTCAGGGCTAGAGGATGAAATCGAAAGATTGTCTGCTTTCTTTTTTTATAGAAAAGAAAAAGGAAAAAAAAAAAAAGTCTATCCTATACTACCTGAAATGTGACACTTTTATATTCACAATACTCAAAATAATTGGTTTGCAATGTGTATTTAAATATCTTGAATTGGGAAGGTGGTCTCAGTGGATCTGATACTTTTTTTACTGTTTTATAAGAAATGCAATAAATACTTGACCTAAAACTGCTTCATAATTGAAATGCCTCCTTGTGCTTAATGTTCTGCAAGACCCTAATGCTGTCAAGGGGAGGAAGGGGATCTGTTGAAATCTTTCCTGATCAGTTCCTCACAGGGCAGGCTGTCATTCTGTAGCAGGGCTGTCCTGGTAAACCTACAGAAGAAGAGCTGAGCCACAGTGCTCGGTTTCTGTAGATGGTCTGTATGAGCCACTTCAGTGCAAAGAGCTGAGGCTGCAGCATCAGCCTGGGCTGGAGTCCAGACTGGAACAGACTTGGACATCAAACCCGGTTGCCACCTTACAAGTGAGTGTTTACTGGGAACAAGAAGTTGACTACTTTCCTTTTGCCTAGTTTAAAATAAACATGTAAAATCTCTGCAGGACTCGACTCAAGAACTAGATCTGAAGAGTCAACTGAAGCCCCATTGACCAGGCACGATCTTCTGGGTGTAGGTGAATGGCCTGAGGTGGGACTGCTGCCGGAGACCCCTGGGTCATCCCCAATCCTGGCACCTTTTGCTACAAGCGTGAGGTGCAGGGCTTTGCCCTTGCTCTTTTGTTAACATACTGTATTCATCTATAAACACACAAAAAAATTCAAAACACTTCACAGCTCTCCTGGGGAGAGAGAGCACAGAGCAGCTGCGTAATAAACCTCCAGGCTGGGTGCAGATACACAGCTGTGATGAGACCCATACAGAGTCCAAATGGGGGATAGACCTCAGAACAGGGCCTGATCCAGGATCCACCGAGCTGAACAGATAAACCTAGCCATAGACAGGCCTTTCTTATTGCAAGACAGTCCTCAGAAGTTGGGCAGGAGTTATCTTTTCCTTTTTTATTTCCCACCCTCCCCCCCCCCTTGTAGTTTTCCAAAGCAAACAAGTCTTATTAAGGAGTAGAAAATAAAAGAATTTGGATTTTCTAACTTAAATAGCTTTAGACTTTTAAAAGCTGAGCTGAGAGTGTGTGAAGTTTTTGTTGTTGGGTTTTTTCCCAACTTCAAAGTAGTTTAGAAGCATTAGATGCAAATCAAAGTCTTGCATGCCCCTTAGTGAACTAGACATGCTTGGCTACACTTGCAGCTGCACAGCCTTATACTGTATTTCTGGAAATTAAATCCTTTTTTGTTTCTTCCTTACTTAATGAAGGGTCAAAATCCTACTTGTGCTGGCACATCAAATGACTTTTGGAATACATGGCACACAGCTCTCAATAGATCATTTATATTGCTTAGTGAAATCACTTTCACAATGCAGCTTTTGCTTGTCTGGCAGAGTTCTGCACTGGTAAAGACTGGAAAAACTGCTGCGCTGTTTAAAGTTTTGACTGAAAATAGAGTCAAACAGCTCCTTTGTTAGAAACTTGCTCCCTATTTCAAGGTGTACTTGTATTTTGGTTTTTGTTCTTGCTGTAGGGCTGCACGGTGTGATGCTGCAGTATGTGAAGAGTGCAGATTCAGCCACTGTGAAGTCCTTGTCCTAAAATGGAAGTTGAGTGATGGGATCTGGAGTGGGGAATAAACACAACACTCAGCTCTTGGTTGAGGCTGTCCGAAGAAGCTCACGGAAGGCAACAGCTGGTCAAGCTTGATGTGGGAGAAGGTTGTCCCTCTTGAGGCTTGTGTAGCCAGTGCTGTTTCAGCAACCCTGAATTCAAGAGCCCTCTTCCCTTGTCTGAAATGGTGGTGTGCAATTGTTTCCATTGCACTCCAAAGTGATTGCTCAGCCCTCATTCCTGAGCTGTCTCAGCAGCTTGCAATCTTTAACCGTTTCGCTGCAAAACAGAGTGCTCTGTGACACTTTTGGAGATGAGAACAAACATGTGCCTGTTGCAGTGGGAGGTCTCTGTGCTATGAAAAAGGGCTCTGAGGACCAAGCCTGGACATGTTCTCCCCCTCAGAGAAGGAAGTGTTGTGATGCACCCTTTATAGATGGAGAAAGATGAAGATTACAGTCTGTGACCTGCCTGTGCTCTTAATAGGGGCAGCAGGAACATAAACTCTGGTTTCCCGTGTCCTATGCTACTGTATTTAAAGGCTGGATCAGTCTTTTCCATGTGGTTCAATTCTCAGTTTAGTGTGGGAGTAGACCCCTAAGGTCTGTTCACATAACGCACTTCTTGCTTCCTACTGAGTGTATAGAGGCTGAAGAACATCACTGACTTTGAATTTTCTGCTGAAATGACTTTGGTTCCCAACATATTGTTAACTTGTAAGTGGCTCTTTCAGCCATCTGGTAACATGAGCTTGTCCAGCAGCATAAAACATACATAACCTTAGCTTCAAAGCTCGTTTTATCTTTACCAAATGAAAGCTTCACTGCAGTGTTCACTGTAAAATATTTATTGTGAAATGGATAACTGGAGCCTTAACGAGAACTTGAGTATATTGCTCCAGGTGCTTCATATGACTGCAAAGTTGGACTTGATCATTGTTTTTTTTCAGGCCCTGAAAGAAATATGTTTCCTTGGCTGGAGGAGGAGGAAGAGGAGTAATGATGCACCTGAAGCACTAGCAATATGTATATATATGTGTGTGTGTATATATACACATATCTATATTACAGGAGAGATGAGAGGAGAGCCAAAGCCAATTGCTCCCCTTAGCAATACACTTGAACAGCAAAATGTGGGAGGAGAGTGAAGATTTCAAACAAATCTCTTTTCAGTAAGGACAGTATGAAGAAGACACCTGCCAAACCCTGGACTGTCTAGTTCACTGCCACTATCCTGTTCACCCTGTGCTAGTGAAATGGGAGGTTGTTTGAGAATGGGCTGGGTGATCTTCCCACTGTCTTCCTGGGTGGTGAAAACTTCACAGATACTCTTTCTTGTCTCATTTCTGGCCCATGAGCATGCTGCAGAGCATTAACCTCTTTGGTTATTGCATGCTCAGGACTGTGCTGAAGGTCTTGCCATCAGTTCTCCCTTGCAAGAGAGCTATTTCTCAAGATAGCTGAGCCCAGAGCAGTAGTGGTTTTCTTTATGTTTTGTTCCAAAGCATGAGCCTTGGCATGAGTTTTGCACTAGCTGAGCTGTCTCTAAGGTTCTTCTAGAGTGCAATTAAATCTAGCTGGTTGCTTTGGGTTGTTTCCTCCTCCCCACAGCACATGGTGTGAATCAGCAAGCGTGCTCGCTTACCTGTTCTGCTGCCACAGTGCTAACAGCCTAGATGACCAAGCAACTGGAAAATCACCATCCCACCCCCAGCAGCTGGAGCTTCTACATCAACAATATGATTTAGTTGTTAAATATGCAAAAAAACAGTCAAGGTTGAACCTATTTCTGTATGTCTCAGGCAACTCTGTTTTCTCCTAACACATGGATATCCTTTAGCTCCTGGAGATGTTTCCACACCCACCCTCTTTCCTTTCAGTTCTGGAAAGGCAGAGTACACATGAGCTCAACTTGGCCTTGTCATGTAACTGTCTGTGGTTGTCAAAGTCCTCTTTGGCCAAGTTCTCTATAAAGCAAACTCCCCTGTGGCTGATCTATAGCATTATTTGGTGATGCCTCACTTTAAAATAGACCACAGCCTTGCACTTTGGGTTTGGAGGTTTCTTTGCAGAGCAGCACCACCTGCAGTGGGGGTGGCTGGCAGACCCTTCTGTAACCTCCTGCTGCCAAATTCCTGCTGCATACAAATTCCTGCAGTGTAAGGAAGGAGAAGAAGCCAGGGGAAATTGGGATGAAATTTTTTTTACGATTTGGAGCAAATAAAGACTTCCTTCCTGATTAGAAAAGCAGCTAAAAATGTCTAGTCTAAATTCAGAAGGCTGCTTTGTAGGGTCATAAGCTGTCATGGGTGCTGATTCATCATCCGTTAGATAATTTAAATATCTGTTAAGCAGAAGTGATGCTCTGCTCAAGGAGGGGGCAGGTCTGTTGGAAGCTCACAGTGGAACTTTGTTTCTCTCTGAGGGAGTCAAGACTCAAGAAATCACTAAACCTGTGATGTTATTTAAATGAGATGCTTCATGGAATGGGAGCCTGCACCACTCCTATTGCTGCTGAAGGCTGGAGGTGCTTTTTAAGCATGCAGTACTGATACAGCAATAAACCATATGAAAAATTTCACCACTGTTTTAAGGGTCTATAGTGGTTCAGAAAATGTCATGCTTAGTGGCAAATCCAGTCCCTATCCCAATAACCAAGAAAGCAATACCCAGTTGTGGTCTGTTGAGTCCAGGTTTTGATTTTTACCTCTTTGATGCCAATGGGTCACTGCAGATGAATAGCCACCCACCTCTCCTTGTTCTCTCTTCTTTCCCCAGGGACCATGGTGGGAGCAGTTTCTCCAAGTCACTTTGCGAGGTATCTCACCCAATGTCATCTCTCTAGATGGGCATTTTGCTGAACAATCTATGCCTCTCACTGGGTCACTCATCAGCTCCTGGGGTTATTGCACAGATCCCTGCATGGGTTTATTTCAAGGCCAGCAGCTCTCTGCTCTGTTTTATATGGGTGCTGGACCATTTCTCCCTCCTTTTTCACTGGGAAAGCACCGATCACAATTTTAACCATGTCTTCAACCCTTCCTTCCCCCTCCCCCCCCCCAACCTCCTTGTCTTCAGGAATTTGATGAACAACATTCATCTAGCATGAAAGAGAGACAGCTGATTTCCAAGGGCAAAAAGCCTTGGTTTCTTTGGCACCAAAAAGTAAAGAAATATTCATAAGTTGCCTAGCTCTAGAGCCTTCAGAAGGGAACCGCTGTCACACATGCTGCTGTAATGCATTGCTATGATTGGCCTTAAAAGCTGTTAATCGTCCCAAAGCTGGTCCCTGTGTCAAAAGGATGAGAAGCCAAATAGTCTCTA